CCGGCTCAAAAGATTTTTTTTAGCCAATCTCAGTGGTTTATACCTGTAATCCCAGCACTTTGGGAGGCTGAGGCAGGAGGGCTGCTTGAGCCCAGGAATTCAAGACTAGCCTAGGCAACATAGCGAGACCTCATCTCTACACAAAAATGCAAAAATTAGCTAGGCGTGGTGGCATGCACCAGTAATCCTAGCTATTCGGGAGGCTGAGGCAGGAGGATTGCCTGAGCATAGGAGGTTGAGGCTGTGGTGAACCAGGATCATGCCACTGCACTCCAGCCTGGGCAAAAGAGCCTTGTCTCAAAACACACACACACACACACACACACACACACACACACACACACATAAATACACATACGTGTGTGTGTATATATTTTTAAAAAATTTTAATACCCACTGCTGGTAAGGATGTAGGGAAATGGACATTCACATAAACTGTGAGACAATAAACTGGCACAGATGCTTGGAGGGTGATTAGGCAATATCTTTTAAAACAAAATATTCATACCCTTTGATCCATCATTTCCCCTTCTAAAACTCTCCCAAATTGTATAATTATACAATAATATATATATACACTGTTCATAGTAGTGAAAATGTTTATGCAACTCACATGCCCATCAATATGGGTCTGGTAATAAATCATTGTACAAAACTAAATTCTAAATGAATATAGTTATTAAAATGAATGAATTAAATCTCTATTTGCTGCCATAGAAAGTTGTCCAAAAGCTGTGGGCGTAGTGGCTCTGCCTGTAATCCCAGCACTTTGGGAGGCGGAGGAGAGTGGATTGCTTGAGTCGAGGGGTGCAAGATAAACCTGGGCAACTTGGTGAGACCTCATCTCTAAAATAAATAAATAAATAAATAAATAAATAAATAAATGAACTGGGTGTAGTGGCGCACATCCATAGTTCCAGCTACTTGGAAGGCTGAGGCAGAAGGATCACCTGAGCCTGGCAGGTCCAGGCTGTGGTGGCCTTGAGTGTCCCACTGCACCCCAGCTGAGCAACACAGTGCGACTCCAACTCAGAAAAAAAAAAAAGAAAATTGTCCAAAAGTCAAAAAAGGATAAGTGATCTAACAGAATGAACATATACACACACCCAGAAAAACCAGTATGAACAAGTATAATATTTTTATTAAAAATGTACAATTTTCCTCCCCTTAGCCCACCAAAATGTACAATGTTAAGTGGGAGGGACCAAGAAAAATATAAACCCAACTATTAATGGTGGTTCTCTTACAGGGTGGGATGGGATAACACGAGTGATTTTTATTAGGTATTTCTAGAATGCTTGAATTTTGTATGTTAAATACATATTTTACTTTCATGTAAATACAAAAAGAAGCAACCAAAAGCTGAGGAACTGGACAAGGTTACTGACTGATAATTCATTGACCAACAAGAATTCCATGTCTACTTCATGCAAGTCCACTCTTCTAGAAGTCTGGAGACTCAGATTCAAGTCCTGGCTGTGCCCCTGACTCACAGATTGAGCAAATTGTTCCCTCAGCTGTCCATTTTCCCACCAGACAATGAAACGGTTGAACTGGGCTTAGGGTTGTCACCGTCTCCTTTCATGGTTTTTCTATTAAAAAAAAAAGGTGCCCAGAGTAAAGTGAAGGCTGTGTGTGGTCTGACCACAAGCCTGCCTATGGTGCCTCCAGCTGGCCCTTACGCACCATCCTTCTCTGAGCTCCAGCTCACATACACACACACACACACACACACACACACACACACACACACACACACACACACAGTGAAACACAGTCATTAGGAATTTTCCATGGTGGCTCATGCCTGTAATCCCAGCACTTTGGGAGATGGAGGTCAAAGGATCATCTGAGGCCAAAGGTTCAAGACCAGCCAAGGCAACATAGTAAGAATCCTATCTCTATTTTTTAAAAATATATGTTTTAGCCGGGCTTGGTGGCTCAGCCTGTAATCCCACGCCTTGGGAGGCTGAGGTGAGTGGATTGCCTGAGCCTGCAGGTTCAAGACCCGCCCGGGCAACTTGGTGAGACCTCATCTCTACAATAAATCAAAAATTAGCCAGGCGTGGTAGTGTGCGCCTGTAGTTCCAGCTACTTGGAAGGCTGAGG